TCACATTTTTTGTGAATATATTTGTGTATAGGTGTGTGTAGTCACACACACGCCCCCAGAACAACCAACAGCCCAAGGACTCTGGGACTCACCTGAGATGCAGGAGACCTATGGGATACGTATGCTGATGTGTAATAATCCCTGTTGGGTACACATAGTTTGCAGCACTTTGAAGACACAAACCGACTGACCCTAAACACCTTCCTGGGGGGTAACCAGATATCACCGCCCCCATTGTATAGTCAGAGAGAGTGAGGTGGGATGTTTAAGTAACCTGACCAACACCAGAGAGGAACTCCTGCCTCCCAGTCTTGTGCTCAGTCCCCTATGGTGGTTGGGTGATTACTAGCCATTCAAGTCCTAATCCTGATTTGTCAAGTTGTTTAACCTCTCTGTACCCCAGATTCCCCATCTCTGAACAAGCAGAAGCCTACCTGGCTGGGCTGTTGCAAAGCTCACATGCACTGGCTAATGGCAATTAGCAGGGACCAGTCTCCGGACATAATGTGCTACAGAAAACTGTGGTTACAGATCTCATAACTGGTACGGTGGGCGCGTGTGTATATTGTGCCAGGACAGCAAGACGGTCCCTTCTTTGCCTTGATTTTATTTCATCAGTCCTTAACCTCAACACATCCCTTTCATCAGGACAACCGCGCCAGCGGGAGAATAACACAGAGATCATCATCCTTTAGCAAGGTAAGCTGAACTTCAAGCTCACTGGGTCCCAGGTGCAGGGAATCCAGAAGAGGGATTTTTGCAGGCAATTGAAATGAAAGATGGACCAGAGAGCAAACCTCTGAGCCAGAAACCTTCCAGAACTTGGGCTCTGTGTTTCAGACCCATCTCTAACTTACATGAACCCCTGGCTGAGACCTCAACCTTACAGAAAGCTTTATTTTACAGCTACGAGAAACCCCCCCCCCAAACCTATAGCTTGATGAATGTAGAAGAAACAGGGGGGTTTAAGTGCAGAATGAAACTAAAGCCAGCCACTTCTAATGACTTCCAGTCAAGTGAAAAAAAATCCTTTGCACATTTCTACACGCCCCCCACCATGGAAACAGTGAAAAGCAGCGAGACTAATTGGAGGAGATAAAGGAACAAATCTAGAGTAGGACTCTGTATAAATGGGGGGGAAAATGAATATTCAGCATTAACAGGGAAGGGCAGGCTGAAATGCATTAAAAAGGCTTGTTCCCTCATCTTATCACAAAGGCACCAAGTTCAGGGAGTCAACCCCACAAGAGAGCAGCAGAAGTGGGCTCTTTGCATTGCGGAGCTGAATAATATTGCAAATCCCACATCTGAGTGCCTCAATGGAAAGAAAGCAGCTATAGTAAGGATGGTGAGATTTGCTCCTGGATGTATAGCAAAAGACAGGCTTTCAATAAGGAATCGTTGGGAGTTTTACCAGCCTTATCTAACAGATGGCACGTACGGGCAGGGGGACGCTGGGGTTTATATACATGTAGAGAGGGGCTGCTCCTACAGCTTATTCAGCCTCTGTGCAGGGATGGATTTCACCCAGTAAAGACCTGGGTTTCTACAAGCCCACAGGGATGCCATCAACAGATTTTCCTGGAGAAGGAAATGACAAGACGGCAGGTGGCCCTATAACCTTTTTTTTTTTTTTTTTTTTTCCCTTC